CTGCCAAAAATGGACAAAGAATGACAGATGGTGGGGGAAGAGTTCCATATGTTAAGGCTGAAGGTAGCAAGCTGGCTAGGAGAGATGACCGAGTCCACAAAAAGGTCAACAAAGAAGAACAAGAGAAGGTTGTAGAAGTTGGATACAATACCGAGGAAGACTCACTGCAGAACAGAGTGAGTGAAATATTAATGGACAGTTCGAAAGCGTGCCAAGTTTAGACCCCGACAAACAATGGAAATTCATAAATGTGCTGTATAATTAATGTATGCTTTTATATTGTATAATTGAGGATGTGTGTTAGTTGTCTAAACTCAACATGGGAATTAATTATCGTGTAAAATAAATATTATTTGATTTAGAAACTGTAGTACTTCCTTTTTGAAGGGAACGTAACCTTACAATATATTTTAAAAAAGTAAGAAAAAAAATCTTACTTCTACTCTGATTGTGAGATTATATTCCTTAATGGTTTCATAGTCTAATGGATGATTAACTTTAATATCAGCCCAAGTATAACCATTATCTGATCGTTGCTGGAGATAAAAAGTATGGAACTTGTTTGTCTGTGCTGTCGATCCAGGCATTAACCGATAGAATACAGTTGGATTGCCTTCAATTCCAGAGCTATAAATTAAATGCAATAAAATGAGCATTTGAATAATAGTTAAAAATAACATAATTTATTAAATACATATATATAAACAAATAAGATAAGATATATATAGATTTTTTACATAATTCTTCTTCTTCATCAGCCTCACAAAATATATCAGTTATATTCTAGAACTTATGTAATAATAACATTAATGATTATTTATACTCATGGCAACAAACATGCAAAGGCATTAATTATAGTTGCTAAATGTAATACATAGGAATGTAATATATATATATATATATATATATATATATATATATATATATATATATATATATATATATATATATAAAGTATATCAAAAATATATACTTAATATTACTTTAGAAAAATATATACTCATATATTAATTTTCATTTTCCCCATATGGTCATTAAAATTTATTTATTACTCCTGTTTATAAATTGTTTTTCTGATTAATTTATGTCACTAGTTTATTTTTATTTCTAATATTTTGAATTCATGAGCCCAGACACTGCATAATTATTATTCAACATCAGAATTTACAAATTAGGTTTGTGATTATTTTAAATAAATAAAAAAAATGTTAATAGCTATGGATTTTGAAAAAATATTTTCCATAGTTGATACAACTGGATATACAGTCAGCGTGTGATCGATTTTTTCTATAAGAAAAATTAAAGAACTACATTATACAATATACATTTACAAAAAAAAAAAAAAAAATGGAATCAGTAAAAATCCTATCATAGATCTGTGGTTATATTTTACCAAATTCATTAAAACTGATGTGAGTAAATATAAATATTTGTAATTGAAAATTTGTATGTAAAAATTATACATTTTTCTAATGAAGTGGTTAAATTTGTTAAAATTATAAACAGACTGATATTGAAAAAATAAAAAGCCCAATGTAAAACAAAATTTAAAAGTTAGGACCATATATAAATTCTAAAGTTTAAAACAATAAATTTAAAAAAATAAAAACATCGAAAATGATAAGAAATATTCCTAATTGTTCAGATAATTTTAATATTAAAATATGGAAAACAACAAACATCCCATTATTAATATTAATGTAACATATATTTAAACATAAATTTATACCTTAATCCTCTTTGAATATTCATTGAACTAAATTAATGTTTGTACAAAGAAAATAATAAAAAAAAAAATTGCTTAAAACAATTTTTAAAAAATTCTAAAAATCATGAGAGTAACTTTAGCTTTTTTAATTTTTTCATAACAATATGATTACTTTAAAAAAATGCATGCTCTAAAAATAAATAAATAAAATAAAATGATAATAATAATATAAATGTTCAGTTAACTCTAGATAACTCAAAAGAATAATTTCAATTTATACATTATTCAAATATTTAGAGTAATGATAATTAAAAGGATAGATTGGAAGGCATATTTAAAACAAATAAACTTCATAATTTAGTTAAATAAATAGGTGTTGTACCTTTTTTTAATATGTGACCAATTATAAATTTAATTTTAAAAAATCTTTAAGCATATCAAAATTTATATTAATTACTATAAACAAACTAATGGCAATTTAATAATCAATCCATAATAAAACATTGTGAACTGTTGGTTAAATCAGAAAATTCAAGTAAATGAAGTCATCTGCGACTGATTGAAATAATTTTTTGCCTTAAGTGGATTTTTTACAATTGTAATGGCCACAATTAAGTTACTTTAACTTGCAGAAGTAGAAAATCCTCTGAAAATTTTGTTTTTCAAAAAACTAGGAAACGTCAATGAGAATAAGACCAAAATTATATTAAAAAGTGTTTAATTTTATACCGTTATAATGAATTTAATCAAAATCATTAAAGACATTTTTGAGAAAATCGTAAAAATCTGTAAAATCGATGATATAAAGTGGCACTTTCGGCTAGCCAATTTTTACGAAAAAATTTATGTATGTAACATCACAGGCATTTACCTATCTTGAATAATTAACCATCCCAGAGATTTACCAATCTTGAGTACATAAAATCAAATTCATATGACTTTTCGTTTTTGAGCTAGGCTTTTCACACACACACATGGTTATTTGGTCTCAGGGGACATCGAAACGTGTATTTTCGTTTAAAAGTCAAATTCAAAAATTTTCACGACCACAGTATTTTCCCTTTCTATATATTACATATATAGGTAAGTGAAATTAAAAATGGAATGCTACAAAAAAAATTGAGTTATCCATAGTCAACTGAAAAGGAAAATATATAAAATAAGCTTATCTTAAAAAATAATATGGGTCATTCCACAATAAATGATATTTAACTGATCTGAAACATTTAGAATCACATTACTTGAAAAAATAGACAAATTGCATATAAAGATGTTTAATGAAACCAAAAATAAAAGAATGGATCAGTTTATCTAAGATTTATGAGGATATTTTGAAATTCCATTTAATTATTAGTGATTAAGAAAAAAAAAGTAACATACTTTCAATAATAATAATAAATAAAAGATTAATAATAAATAAATACTTTAAACATGTTGCAAATGGCAATGATTAGCATAAATTAGAATGTATACTTATTTTACTAATGTTTAGTGTAACAAAATTGCAGAAACCACAATTAGGTAAAACTATTATAACATTTATAAACAGAGGATCATAAATTCTTACATTATACATCAAATTAATTTTTTAACTATTTGAAAACTCGCCTTTAGTCTACTTCTAAATTATTATTTTTTTTTTTTTTGTAAGAATAGTAAGTACACCAATATTTTAGATGAAATTCATACTATATCAGTCAAAATATTCATGTTCTAAAATTAATAGAATGAGTATTTGATTTTAATTAAATAGGTGTTTAAAAGTTCACAAGCATTAAATTATTGACATTTAGGACTAACAGATTTTATGTTATAATTTTCAAATTAAAGTGATTAAATTATGAGGAATGACCCATATGGAATAAAAAATTTGTTTAGCCATGTAAGAGAAAATTAGGCTCATGCAAATGTTTTTCTTCTTTAATTATAATGAATGCCTAAAATTTTAAAAGCTATTTTTCTATTGTTATGAAAAAAAATTAAAACAAAACGTCATGCGACACTTTAATACAAACAAAACAAAAAACTATCTATCTATACCTTGGTAATTACCTTATTATTCCACAAGTAACCTAAACTTATGTACTTTTAAAAAATGTATTACATCATCAGTTTTATATTTACAATCATTTACATTAATATGATGCATTAAGACAGTTCTAAGAAGAGCCTTTGAAATTTAAAAGTTGGAATTATAGAGAATTATAGATGTTCTTCTTCTGGATTGAAGTCCTAATTACAATAAATGGTATACTATTATTGGCATTGAGTGTACTTTATTTTCATAATAAATACTGTGGATTACACAAATTTTGACGGAAATTATCTCCTAAAATAGCTCAAAATATTGAATTTAAATTTCTTCCTTCCCCTCTGAATTATTGCGTCAATTTTATTTTATTCTGTAGCTTTTACACTTACCTCCTACTCCCTGCTCATGCACAATCTCTAGGATACACATTATTATTATATGTTATACAGTATATGTTTTCATCAAAATATATTTAGGAAAGAAAAGAGACCGAGTACCTTATAATAAAAAATACTTAAATATGTTAATGCTCCATGTTTTTATAATCAAAACCGTACAATACCACCTTGTAAAATTATCTTCAAACGAAAAGATTCGTAACAAGGTTAACATAAAATATTATCTAAATTATTCAAATACTATAAAAACAATGATTTACTATTTTAGAGAAATTATCAAAAAACTAATACAGTTAGAAGGAAAAAAGATATATCTGATGAAGTTTAATTTAATATGCAAGAATAGACTATTAACAAAATTTTGTTAATTTAAAATATTTCAAAGGCACTTCTTGGATCTTAAACGTTAAATGTGAACAATTTGGTGCTTCCACCACCCAAAGATGCATGTTTGCAAATGTGATGGATAGACTTTAGTTTTAGCAACAAAGTTATTTCATTTTTTTATTGTATTAAACCAAAATTAATTAAATTAGTCATTTTTCTTGTTTTATTTATGTTTTCTAAAAATAATGTAATATAAATTTAATCTTTAGTACTTGAATGTTAGCCTAAGTTTTACTAATAAATAAAACAAGAAAAATAATATGGTGAATAATGAGATAAAACAAGGACATAAAACACAGTATGTATACATTAAACTAAACACTACATAACAGACAGGTGAGGAGCATACACCTTCGTGCATGGGATTATGCCCATTGGTATCTGGAAACTGGGAGGAAAGCGTGCGTAAAAAACCCAAAATGTTAATTTAAAAATGAAAAAAAAAATACAAAAAGCTGTCGGAGGTAGTTTGAACCGACCTTGCTTTGATTGAGACAACTTTGGCCCCAACATTCATGTTCTCCTTGATGTAGATCGGGCCGTACACAACATGATCCCAGATTGGAGGGTTGTTAGCACGGTCGACGACATCTATCTGTACCTCGACCGATCTAGATAGTTGTGGAAAGCCCTTGTCTTGGGCCTTAGCCTCCAGTTTGTAAGTCTCCCGCTATAAGGTTGGTAGGGAAAAATGGATATTGTTGACTTGGAAAAAATTCAGAGACAGGCAAATCAAAAACTTATTATTGATTTAATAAATATATTTACATAATTTAAACCATTTCAAATATTAAGAAGCATTATCTTTATAATACCAGTTTGCCTTTCTCTGAATGAGAGGAAGGGATGAGGAGGAGATTTAATGGGCTCTTGTTTGACCTCACTCACATCTCTGTCAGTTACACTTTTCTATTTTTAAAAATGTAAATTAAAGACCTTGTTTTTTGTTTATATTGTACAAACCTGGCTTTGACCGAAGCAACCACAGTACCAACAGTGACATTTTCCAATTCACGGAAGGGCCCATAGACAGACCTGTCCCAGAGGGGAGGTTTATTGTTCCTGTCAACGACGTCTAACTCAACATCGACGTCCGCTGTTGTTGGAGGTTCTCCTCGATCAGAGGCTTTCACCCGGAGGCGGTATCGCTCACGCTATAAAACCATACACAAGAGCGAATCACAACACCTAGAGGCCTCCCACCTCAACGTTATACACAGCAGAGAAAGATAAATAATAAAAAATAAAATAACATAAAGAAAAAAAAAGGAACAGAAAAATTATAATTGAAGTAACAAGTAAATATAGATAGCGCAATTTCTTTTTCTTTTTTTTTTAATAAGCAACTAACATTTTTGATTATAATTTACTTTTTTTTTCTTTGAGAAATGCTCATAGCATAGCTCAAGTGAAGCATCCTACAACAAATTATCCTACTTATTTACAAATATTCCTATTGCAAACAATTTCTTATGTACAAATAAACTACATACAACTGAAAATAACTTCAACTTAAGTCAATTTTTAATATTTACTTTAATCATTCTAATTTATAATTTTTAGAAATTATTGTTTTGAAAAGTAGCTGTACATATTACTGCATGCAGATTATTTTTCAAAAAAATTCATCAAATCTTCGAAAAACCCAAAAGAAATATTATAAAATTTTATTAAATAATAAGATAAGCATCTTATACAAGCAATGAGATACTTAAAGTATGCAAAAAAAAAAATCATTGGAAAAACTGTAATTCTGAAAAGATAAAGTTAAAGTGGGAATAATTCTTAAATCTGTGTAAGTTATATTATTTTGTTATGTACCTTAAAACAATAGAAAATCCAAAGAAAATAGAATTTTTGTTTATAATTTTCATTTTTTACCCATAACTTTATCTATATGTCAAATTTAAGAAACAAACACTAGTAATTTATACTGTTTTTATATTTACTTATACGTTTTTGGGACTATTTATCCTCCTCTTTAGCATCTATGCCCCAGTATTTGGGGAGTCAAAGAATTGTAGGTATTGAATAAAAGGTCCAAGTACAAGTAGAAAGAAAAACGCTATAAATTACAAATGTTTTGTTTCTTAAATAGTGTCTATAGTCAAGATTATGGATAAGAAATAAAAAATATAATTTTCATTTTATAATTAATATTTTATTAAAATAAAATTTAAAAAAATTGAGTTCTACCAATGGGTAGTTTCTCTTCATGCTGTACATGTCAAGTTACCAATGTCACATTTACTTATTGTATTTTCCATGTAATACAGTAGTAAATTTCATTAATAAATAAATAATTAATATATTTTTATTAAGTATTATTATTTTTTTTTAAACAAGGAACAATGCTTCCTTTAAAAATAATAATATTTTAAAAATTTTAATGGACTATGTTACCAGCTTGTTAACTAAAAAAATTACATTACAAATGTAACTTAAAGGGTATAACTATGCCCTATAATATTAAATAATAACCAATTAAATCCTAATATTAAATATTAATCTGAATATGTCAATTATAAAAAATAAATAAAATGAGCACCTTGAAATAAACAATTGGCTAAATACGTACAGCCTTCCGAGTTAAAAAAAAAAATCAGTAAAATCCTCTACTTTTAGAATAGTTAACAGTTAACAACCATATATAAAATTATACTTTACAAAAATGTTTGTAAATGAAAACACAGTTGAACCACTACTTATTGAACTTTAATAGACCAAAATTCTTTATAATTTTAATAATTTCCAAAAATTAATAAATAAATAAAATAAATTAATTAATTAAAAAGTTCCTTGAAAAAAAAACTATAAATAAGAATAAAACTTGGCTTTTTGGAAATTCACTCTTTAGGTGGAACAAAGATAAGAATTTGTTGTGTACATTTGTATAACACGTCCATCTATCCTGAATAAAATATCCTGTTATTTATCTATTACCTAGTTCAAATCCATTATTTTGTTCTTATGTTTTAACATTAAGGAAATATATTTACCACGATGATATTTACTGAAAACTGGTAAATTACAAAATGTTAAACTATTTATTCATGAAATTTGAATTCAATAAATAGAAGTCATTCAACCCCAGAATATGAAAAATTATCAAGAACACATTTTTGTGAAGTCGCTATGTTCAATTATACATCTTTCTTAAGTAAATAAAAATACTATATTTTAAAATAAAATTGAATTAACATAGGTATGTCTTTCCTTAATCTTAAATGTCAGTATGTTTATTCTTTAACATTGAAATTGATACAGCAAATTCTGAAAGTTCATTTTATCCCTAGATATCATAGTTATCTCTAAGTAATGTTCAATTTTTATAAGTAGAGATTCGACTGCTATAAATATTATGATAAATGATTATGGAGAAACATGATGACAAGAATTATCAGCTAAAATAAATGATAAATCATATGAATAATTTTATATTTGATTTCATTAACTTTAATGAGCAACTATTTAAGAAAATATTTAATTTTCATCTACACGTTAGCTGTAAAATCTCTAAAAATACTTCAGAATATATATAATATAATGGCATTCCTATAGCATAGACTGAGTAAATCTGTCATGAATCAGGTAAGGAATCAGTAGAAGAGTTTCAATTCAACTTTTGAATCAAAAGTTCAATTTCAACAGGTACAGTTTTCTTGCACAACTTATAACGTGTACGTTATAGCCTACAAAACTTGAATAGAAACTTAACATAAACTACTAGTTAATATAGAAGGCGGTATTTTAATCAGTCAATCATTTGCACTTCATTTTTTTTTAAATAGCGAATGTGATATTATATAAACATTTTTTTATATGAAATTCTGGATTTTAATATAAAATTTAGTTATATAAAGAATTGCATGACATACATATTCCTTGTGAATGTTTCCTCATCTAAAAGCACCTTCATGAAATAAAAAATATTGTTTTTTATTTATAAGTTGTTCTTGTAAGAAGTGCCAAGGAAATACATTCAGCTCTTGTGCAATTTTGTCCACTTCTGCTAAGTGTAAAATATTTGATAGTATCATAAGCAATGATAATTGTTTTTGTTAACTTCATTTAACTGAATAAATATAATCTAATTTGATAAACTAATCAAAATATTTTGATTATTAATCTATTCATCATAACGTCATAAAATTTAAAAAAGTTAATGACTTCCTAAAAGATGATTTTTAATATTTGGCATTTCAGAAAAACGTCCAAGACGTTGAAAAAAAGTGACTGATCATTTATTGGGGTGATTTGTATTAAAGAATTTCAATTTTCAAGTCTTGGCGAATTTTCATGGGTAATTGGCCCAATTTCCATTTTATAATTAATAAATTGTTACTGTATCTAATCATATTTTATCATCATCTTTCTGACATTTCATGCTGTACAATGAGATAAAAATTTAAAGAAAGTTCTTTAAATAAGATTTCCAAAAGTCACTTCCAAAATAAAAGATAAGTAAGTACACAGAACCATACACAATAAAACCCATACATTAACAGAGAATCCATTGAAATATTACCTTAAGGATTGTAAACAATACTACAATATTTATATTTAAGAAGTACAAATTTCTAAACATCCTATAATTACAAATAATAAGGAATTTTTAAATTATATTGTATACAGAGGTTTAACCTTTAAACCTTTAAAGAAATAAAGTAAGATAGAAAAAAAATGTATTAGACACACAAATTTTTTAAGAAAACGACCATGCAAATTAAATTTAAATTGGAGAAGATTGATAGTTTAGATTGCAAGAAGTATTGATTCTTCATAGGATTGTAGCATCAGTAAATCAGTTTCAGATTGATACATTAAGTTGTCGCTTAAACGATAGTAATGAAGTATTATAAATAACTGAAAGATCAAAACTAAAAATTTCAGGATCCATATAACTTCAAAAAAATATAAAGGAATTCTGTAACTAATTTGCTGTTCAGATATATGTTGTCTCCATGCAAAGTTTTCAGCAATCTACCATCAAGTAAGTTTTAATTTCCATTATATATACATATACAACCAATATTTTTATCTTTAAATACCCAGGTAATACATAAGATGTAAACAACAATTAATAAAATGCTTAAATATAGAGTTCTTTATGAAACATTAAATTAGTCTTGTTAGTTTAAGGAACTTGAGTGCTACAGCTGATATAACTTGAATCACATAACACAAATAATAAGTAAATAGGACAGTGTTGAAATGTTAACCCCACTGAAAATAGAGATGAGAAAATGATACTATTCAGAAGTATTACCTGCAACACTTTTTAATAGATATGGCTCCATCATTCTTCTTAAGATACACTATTGTTAAGATCATAGCTATTTTTCAAATAAATTAGCTCTATTTTATTTCTTTTTGGTCAGGAAATAATAATTTAAATTGAACAAAAGAAAAAAAAAATAAAGCAAAAGTCAGTATTCTTTTGTTATAAATTAATTCCATTTCAGATAAAATACACTGGATATTGTTTATAATTACCTCCAAATGACCAAGCATGTTTGGTCAAAATACCCTATTGTTGTAATAACCAATCATACTAACAACATTAAGTACATGTGAAATAGATAATTTTTAAAAATAATTATTATCAGCACACACTGATATAGATTACATAATGGTTTGGCTAACCAATCGTCAGGTGATCTTAACATGTTTCCAGCAGAGATCCCTTTCCAGCTATGCCATAGGTTTTTTAAAACCTATGTTCTGCCTAGAACCAAAGGGAAAAGTCCTAAGAAATCATTCGCTATAACAGCAGGATGAGACCAGAGAGAGGAATGTTATGGCTTATTTGGATTAAAACAATAGATCATTATTGATTTCTATGCAGGTAACATGATGGTGTTTCTTAATTTAAAAGGAATCCACTTTTCCTACAGGACCTTGAATTGAGGCAGTACTTTTCTAAATCTAAAATTTTGGAGTGATATCCATATAGGATCCAATCTATAGTGAACATGTTTGTCTCACTATTTTCAAAACATTAGCAAATATCAAACTTCTTCTACACGTTGAAAGTTTATATTTTACAAATGATATACTTCTGTTGGAGGAAAAAATAAAACTAAACAATAAACAATCACTAATCCTCTGCCCCTTCAAAACATAATATAGAAAAAAAAAAAAGTAAAATTCTTGTTTGAAAGGTGTCATATCTGCCAAAAAATATATTGCTAAGGCACTGAGGATCATGGATCAGGAAATATTCTTCACTATAACCAATATATTGTTATATCTAATGCAGTTTTAAACAATATCCAGTGTCTTACATCAGATGAAAGTAATTATTATTTTTCAAGTAGGGTATTTAAATAAAAGCATTAGCTACTTAAAAGATTTGAAATTGGCTAGTTAATAATTAAACAAAAGATTAAAACATAGATAGATTGACTATAAACCTCATTAAATAACTCACATATTCTCTACTAATTTCTATGTAACAATGTCAGCAACACAACTGTAACACTATAGAGTATTATTACACAAGCATAGACATATGTATTAAACAAGCTTTTCATGTATTATCTACTTCGGGAATCTTCCAAAGTAATAAACAAAAACTACAGAAAAAACAGGACACCTTATCATTTTTGAGGGGGGAAAAATCTACCATACAATGATTATTTAAATCTGTAAATAATATGAAAATAAAATAAAATGGATATGTATCAGTAAAGTTAATTTGAGATAGAAACTGACATGAAATAAAATATGTAAAATTCCCTTTAGAATTCCAGTTCACTGTGGAAATACATGTCTCCTGTATTTAAAATGATTATGTATAAAAAATGAACTAAGGCTCATTCACAAAGGAGCTATGCTATGAACAATTCAATTTCACAGATAATTCGTTTTAATTCTTCAAGCGAGTTAACTACTTCTGAGGGTTAGCCTCTAAAACATACAAAAGGTTAGATGACAGTTTACCTACTTACTGGAAAACATCCCTTGGCGTTGAGAAGGTAAAAGAGATTCAGCAAAACAGAAATAGTGCAATTAAATAAAATGAATAAAAAACCTTGGTTATAGGATGGTTTGGGGGAAAAAAAAAATTTTAATTAAAAACTGAAACAAGGCTTAGTGGTTAAATTAAATATAAAGCACACATGCGACATGATGCAGTAAAATAAAAAACAAAACAAAAAATAATTAAAAAGGATTATTGGTTATAGGTTAGTGATAACAAGGAAGGATATTAAAGAAAGGGAGCGCGGAAAAAAAAAAAAAATTATCCGCACTTTATTTTCATATTCAAAAATAAAAATAAAAAATGGGAAAAAAACTCTTTGCAAATTGCCGTCCGCATTCGCCCCATACACATGGAACGGAAAAATGTCACATTTGGTTATTCGGTTAAAGTAGTATAAAGAGAGGCGGAGAGCTGAAGCGAGGTCAAAAACATCACCCAAAACACACCATCCTCCCTCTTTCTCTCTCTTTCTTTTATCTCCTCCTGTAAAAGGATGAGAAAAAAAAACACACAAAAAGAGAGCCATAATAGTTTTAAAAAATGGTTAGTTCAGTCACCTTCAAAAAAATTCAAAAAATCACAAAATATTTTCAGACATTTGGGGTATAAATACCCACTCAAAAAATCATTCCAAAATCAAAAATCATCAACAGGCATTAAAAAAAGTCATGTGATTGTGTGTGGGGCAAAAAAAAAATGCGCAGTAGAATACAAAATACAAAAACATTCCTGCGCAATTTTTTTTCTCACTTCTTCAGGGTATAGGTAATTGTATTTTGAAGAAGGAATGAATAAAGAAAAACAGTGCATTGAGTGCTCCTGGCAAAGAATGTGATTAATAATAAATTAATAATCAATAAGGTGCCGTAAAAACAAAACTCATTTTTATAAGAAAGAAAGGGGTATCTGACCCTTTAGGTCACGCCTACCCCTTGAGCAACATAAAGTAATGTGCTCTCTAAATAATTTATTTTAAAAAAAAAGCCAGAAGAAATATGAAAAGTATATTTTTATCATTTATATTTACAAGTGCAAAAAACTTAATTCGAGTACATCAACAACTCTAAATTGTCAAATCCACATGGAAACATTGATAATAAACTTATGGACATGATCAATGATTTGAGGAAGAAACCAACTTCTTTTTCTATAATTTTATTAAATAGATTAATTATCCAAGTAATGCAAGGCAGTGCATATATTTCTGCACATAAGCAAGGCACTCATACATGCTACTTCTACAAGCATGACTTAATAAGTTTCAAAAATGACAAATTAATCATTAAAAAACAACCGAGGGAATAAAAGAATTCTCAACTGATATTTTTCCAGTCAAAACTAAGATAGAATTCTGAAAAATCAAGAGTTGTTGAAGTAGTTGATATTTGAAAGAACTGAGATAATGAATAAGAAAATAAATTAGATTTAATCTTTTAGATTAGTAATTCAGGTATAAATAATGAAAAGGATGAAGGAAAGGGAATTAAGAAGAAAACTTACGTCAAGAGGCTTCTTCAGCACGATCCAACCTGATTCAGGTTGAATTTCAAAATATTCAAGGTCATTAGGATTAGAAGGTGCGCTTAGAGTATAAACAATAGCACCATTATTGTCTGCATCTTCATCAGAAGCTGATACACGAAGGATGTTGGTGCCAATACTGGCATCTTGTTTGACATTTTCAACATATTTCTGAAAAAAAAATTTTTGAATTAGTTATCTATCTGTTATTAATTTATCTGAATGTTCTTGAGATACAAGAATGGCGATCAGATAAACAATGTTTTCCAAGATTTTTTTTTTATATTTTAGGATCCTTTCTTTTTTTTTTTTTTATTTATTCATGATATTTACATCTATATTAGAATATAAATACATCAAGTAAATGTTTACACAGAAATACACTGACAGGCGAAAAATTCCACCCACTTGATTTTTTCATGTTTTAATCTAAAAATATTTCTGCTTTAGATTGGTCTATTGTTTTTAATGAATAAATAGGTAATCTTTTTGTTTGTTTTCAATTAGGAATGTTAATATAGAGGACAATAACCCTTAATTCTTGATTCAATGAAATGATTCTATATTCCAATGTTTACTTTCTATGGAATCAAAATGTTTATTCAGTATCATTAGTTCAGTGCCGTTTCTTGCAGCACATTTCTTAGTCTCTAGCTTTTAATTTTTTCAATATTAAGTTAAAAAATGCCTCTTAGTGCTGAGGATGTTGCGTGTGGTGTGGCACTTATTGATGATGAACGTTCCATTAGATATGCAGCTAATGCCATCGGAGTTCCATATGAAACTTTACGAGACGCAGTCAGGCGTTTTCGGGAAACTGGTTCTTACAATAGAAGGCCCGATTCTGGACGGCCTAGGGTAACAGAACCACGGGATGACCGGTTTTTGACTTTGAGAATTTTACGAAACTGGCACATTACCATTGTTCAAGCGATTCATCAGCTCAAAGAGGTTCGAGGTGTGCAAATTTCTGAACTACGGAGAAGATTAAATGAGTATGGATTAATGACTTTTCGTCCAGTAAGAGGACCAGAGTTGATCAGAACTCACAGAGTAACACGGCTGGCTTTTGCCATTCACTATGGACGAATGGAGTGCTGTACTTTTTACAGATGAGCCAAGATTAGCTCTTCGATCTCCAGACGGGCGTGAAAGGGTGTGGAGAAGAAGAAACGAAAGATATGCAGCCTGTAATTGGAGCGTTGCACAGGATTTGTTGTTCGTGGAGGGTCTTTGACGGCCATTCGCTATGTAGATGAGATTTTGGAACCTCATGTGTTGCCTATCCTCAACGAAATCGGCGATCATTCTATTCTAATGCACGATAATGCACACCCACATGTCGCCCGCATAGTGCAGACGTTCCTCAGAACAATATTGAGGTTTTAGCCTGGCCAGCATGTTCTTCAGATTTGAACCCCATTGAGCATTTATGGGATAACCTCGGAAGACGAATAAGAGCACGTGCAAGACTTCCTGATACACTGCAGGACCTTGAAAGGGCTCTTCGGGAGGAATGGGCTATCCTCCAGCAAGAGGACATTTCCCGACAGGTGGAAAGTATGCTGGGGCATCTTCAAGAAGTAGTGAAGGCAAGAGGAGGAAACACGTGCTACTAAACGATGATGTAATTAATTTCTTTTAGAATAATAATGGTTCGTTTTTCAATTTTTTTTCTCTAATCTTTCTTACCCAATCACATTTTGATTATTAACGGTAAAAAAGATTATAAAAGTCCATAAATACTAAGTATTATCTACAAATAACATGTATTATATACAAATACAACTTTTTTTACAAGTGGCAGAAATATTTTTAGATGAAAACATGAAAAAATCAAGTGGGTGGAATTTATTGCCTGTCAATGTATAATGACTTGAAAACGGTAGCTGACTGAAAAACTACCCTCTGGCAGCACCTTAATAATATGTCTAAATAACATCATGAGGACATGTTCTTTTCAGAAGTCTCGGAGGGCTATCAGGGATCAAATAGCAAGTAAGTTTAGAAACGAGAGGTTTGGATGGTTTTGAAGTTTATTATAGGCTAGTTATCTGGATTGGGTCAAATTGGAAACACATGATATATTAAGGTTGTTATGGATGGCTTTATTTGTGATAAAGTAAGGAGCATTGAGAATTTTGGATTGTAAGGATTGGATCATCCACAAAGGATCCAACAAGTACAAAAGCTCTCCAAGTGAGTCCAAATAGGCTTTATTATAGTCATATACTTGAGTCTTCTGTAATTAATTGATAGCACAGAGTGCTGATGCTGAGAAATGCTGGCATAGTCGGAAATATCCAGCGGTTTCTAGTCGTTTCAGTCTTGAATGAGGATTCCAAGTGAGATACTTGTTTAGAGGGAGTATTATTAAAGGATATTGTAGGAGAGGAAGTCATAAGTTTAAGATGAAAGGTAAAGGTAATATGATGAGATTTATTGGAATTAATTTTAATCCTCCAGTTTTGACAGAATTATTCAAGGTTTGTGACGTGTGATTGAAGAGATTTGGATGCAATTGATGGATCATTATTAACTGATACGACTCATGTGTCATCGGCATACGTGGTGATAACAGTGTTAGGATGGGTTGGGATATCAGCTGCATTAACTGAGAAAAGGATAGGGCTTAGGTTACTACCTTGAGGAATAACAGAATACTGGGAAATTTAGAATCCATTAATTTCAAAAAAGTGATTTTAAAAGCTTCATTTGGTGCTTGTTAAAACTGATTTTATTATATTTACTTAAACATGAGTCATGCCATCATCTGTTTTTCTGGTGATTTCACTGAAATCACTTATCAGAGGAGTTTTGGTATAAAATCCATTAGTATTTAAAAAAATGGAATTGCATAATTTAAAAACCTAAAGTAAACAAAATCATATGGATGTAAAATAAATAATTGAAAATCACTGTGGCAGCAAATGAACGCAATTATAAAAACCATTGCAGTTTAGAAATAAAGTTTTTAGAGTAAAATGAAATTTTGTCTGCATAAATTTGGATTATACATGTCTGTTTCATAAATGTGATGGATATGAACTAAGTATATCGCATTAACTAAAATTTATATGGAAATAAAGCCTAAAGCTATCCTCAATAACTAAACAGTTTATCTGAAACAAAATCAATTTTTTATAATTAGGCTGGTAGTTACTAAAATTAGCAAGCTCCAACAAACACATTCTTTAGTTTCATAAATTAGTACAGATATTATTTGCTCAGCTACAAAGATGAAATATAAAAATTATATTTAAATATAGAGAACCTTATAGAACTGTTTCAATTATAAAATATTTGGCATAAATTAACTTTTGAAGTCTATTTTCCAAAATTAGTCCATATAATATAATGTTCTTAATTGATTTTCAAAGATATTTAGTAAAAAATAGTGTTCCGTTTACAATACTTGAAGCATATATTAGTAAATTATTTAGATTTTATACGTTCCATATTTGTTACGAACCTGTCTGTCAAAAAGTGGTGGGTTATCATTAACGTCTGTTATTTCAACTGTAAAAGAACAGACTCCTTCTAATGATGGATCTCCTTGATCTGTAGCTTTGACGGTTACAGATACAAACTTCCCGTCATCACCTTCTCTGTCAAAAACCTACAAAATAAAAAAATTAAAAATCACGATGAAGAAAAGAAAACTCTAAGTAAATTAACCAAAGCATTACAAACCTTGTTAGTTGTTACTTCTCCAGTTTCCTCATCAACAGTGAATTTTGTACCTTTTTGATTTGGCTGTTGTACAATAGAATATTTCACTTGACCATTCACACCTTTATCTTCATCAGTGGCATGTACCTAAACAGATTTTTAAAATTATTTAAAGATTAATAAAATACCAAATAACTTAAAATTGTATCGAATTTGTTCTTACTTTGATAACTGGACTTCCGTTAGGAGCTCCTTCTTCAACTTGTGGAGCATAAGTGCCACATTCCTTAAAAACAGGTTTGTTGTCATTAACATCAGTAATAAATACAACAACAACTGCAGTAGAAGTGTGTACTGTTTGAGCCCCGTTAACACAACAGGAACCATCGTCCATTGCAGTAACGTTCAACTCGTACTTGTCCCTATCTAAAGAGATTGCTTTTCCATGGAGCCGAATTACACCAGTAATTTCTTCTATCACAAATTGCCCAGAAGATGTCGTACCACCAACAAATCCAAACCTTAAAAAAAAAACATAGAAATAAATAAGCAAATATTATCATTTGAGAAACAATTTTTAAAGTAGAACATCTTAATTTTTTTTCCCAACTATTAGGTCATATTTGGTTCCCATCAATAAAACACCAAAATCCGCATAATTAACACAATTATTTCTAGTTAACTGATCCAGTATAAAGCTGGCATATGTAAGAAAAAAGGAAGGTGTCTGTAATCTACTTCTTCTCTCACTATGTCCGTAATCACCATACAAAAATACAAACAATGTTTGACTACACAAACTTTATCAGATGTTTGTATTTTAGAGAATTGATGACTTGAAGAGCCTTTTAAAAATATAGGTAATTACTGTATGTATTTATTACAGGTAGTTTTCAGCAACCTGTTTTTCATGTTTTATACTAAAATATGGTGCAATATGTAAATAAAATTTTATAAGAAAAAATCTTTAAATTAGACACTTGAACCTTTCAGGATTCTGCCCCATCATCAGAACAACACTACAATATTTTTATTTATTAGTGAGTTTAACATGAAACTAGTAGAGTGACTTTATTTTAATATAAAATTAATTTTGTCATAAAAACATGTATAACATATCTTACATAAATAAAATGTTATAAATCTCTGAAGGGATGTTGAAAGTGTACTGATGCTAAGATAAATCTTCAGTGGAAATGAATGACAACCTTTCTAAATTGAATAATTTATAAAAACTAATACATTTAAAATAAAAAAGAAGAATTAAATACCCTTATACAGTTAAGTGATCAACTTTCCTAAAAATCTTTTCACTACTCTTTGAGTCAAATAAAACAATATTATAGAAAATCATGACAATTTACATCTTTTTTATAATTGCCTAACAGACGATTAATAAATTTAATGTGAATATTTCATACCTGACATTGTCACCATCTTTATCAGATGCTACCACAGTCGTTACAAGTGTATTTGGACCAGCATTTTCATCTACATTCGGAGTATATACTTGCTGAGAAAATTTCGGCTCTTCGTCGTTTTTATTTTTCGTATATATCCTTACCGTTGCTGTCCCCGTTTTAGCCGGTTCTCCTATAATATCAAATAAATTAAAGATTTGTTTCTTCAATTATTTAAAAATCATATAACAATTTTAATATTTTGTATTATCAACCAATTTCTGTAGAACTAGATGCCTTGATTGGTAATACACCATTTTTAGTAATGAAATGAAATAGATAAGGATAAGAAACATAATTGTAGGCTTCAAAAGGAAAGGCAAAGCTACAGTAAATGACACTCAGTGTTTTAACTGTCATTGAAAGTAAATAGCAAAAAAATTTATAGAATGGGAGTTGATAAAAAATTATGTCAAATCCAGAATAACTATAGCTATCTATCTCATTCTATTCTCTGGTTTTACCTCACGTTACAATCTCAGTAAGTCGAAGAGATCAATCGATCCAATTAATTAGAAAAAAGTAGCTACTGGAGCCGTCAGGTAAAACGTGATATCGTTGGCACCATGCTTAAGTAACGAAAGTATGCCTGATTAATATTGCACATCAACACGGTACCGACGATATATTTAAATTATTGTAAAAATTTTTACAAGATGACAAAAAGATTTAATAGAATATTTAAATTCATAACTTTTTAACAATTTCAAGAAATTATACATTACTAAATTCTCATTATTACCTCAACCAGGTAAAAATGAAAAACTAACTTAAAATATATTTAAAATTTAATAAATAATTTACCTTTATCTTTGGCAGTAACACTGAATTCATAATAGGCATTATTATTATCAGCATCAAGTTGTTTGTTATTATTTACAATTCCATTTGAATCAACAGCAAAATGGTCATCTGAAACTTGGTATTCAATTTCAGCATTGGCACCAGAGTCGGCATCGGTTGCTTTTACTTTGAGAATGGACGTGCCGAGCGGGATATCTTCATCTACGTTATGTGCTTGGTAATCAGGTAGTTCAAATTTAGGTGAATTATCATTAACATCAGTGACACGAATGGTAAGCTGAAAAAAAAACTTTATTAGTAAATATTAATACTTATATCAATAGGTAGAGAAACTAACTAATTGTATTACATTCATGTAGAAAGTACCGTTATAATAATTAATAATAATATAATTAAATAGTAGTAACTGATAAAAAGAAAGTTATATAATGTGTTTAAAGCCGAGTGAGTTTCCAAATTTTACCTGATTTAAATATTATTAATATAAATCTTCACAGTCACAGAATCATAATATAAATCTTCACAATCATAGTCTAATAAAATAAAAGTTATAGACAATGCTTACCTCTACAGATGTAGAGAAACCGCCCGAATCTTCAGTAGCAGTAACAACTAAAGAATAAACGTGAGGCTGTCTTAGGTCTTCAAAGTCCAATTCCTTCGCTAGCTTAACAATACCAGATGTTGGACCAATATTAAAAGTTCCAGCACCCTGTCCTTGTGCTTTTAAAGTGTATCGGATCTCACGATCAGCAAAAGATTTAGCTTTGACTGAAATGATGCTGAAAATAGAAAAAGTAGAAAAATAAGTTTTAATATAATAGGATAAAGTAAATACTCAAGCTATGTCACACTATTTAATGAAAATCAATACTAAAAACAAATTATACATACTTTGTTATATTAGATCCAATAGTTCATATTTAATGAAAATATAAATTGAATTTTTATAAATACATTTATAATTTTTTTTATAAATATATAAAAAATTAATTAATATATAAAATTTTTAATCTTCAATAATAATAATTTTTATTTTATTCAATATATAAAGTCCAATTTTCACAAATATCTTTTTTTTTAATTATTAAGAGGTTACGAAAATTTACTATATAATTATTTTCATGTTTTTTTATACTTTCTGCGCATAAAGAATTTACAATTAAATTTGTAGATTGTTTAATTTACAAATAAAGCTTGTCAAACGTAAATATTTGATTGTTAAATTTATTTTGTCAACTAAAACATTCATTGAATTACACAACTATAACTGTTTTATAGAGCATCTACAACATATAATTTGTAGAATTTAGTTTAGAAAGCTACAATAAATAAATACATACATTTAAGAGTTATAAATTTATTAGAACCCTAGTATAATGTAAATTATATTAACAGACTAATTAACAGTAATTAGCTGTTGACAGAATTAAATAATTATAGGACTCAGTAACATCCATATATTACTGCCTTTCTCTTTAATTGATTAATGTATTTTTAATTTACAAAATGTAGCCTTTGTAAAATAATTAACAATATTATTACAAATAAAATATAGACAGATAAAGAGTAGGAAATCAGTATAAATAATGATATTGAAGTATATATAAAGAAAGGAATAAATTAAGTAATGCAGAAAATATTAGGGGTAATTGAAAAAAAAAAAAAGAATTTGAAAATAATAAAGTTCTTCTGTGGAAAAGTGATATTGTAAACTTTATTTTAAAAATAACTGCGCATGCAGTTCTGTGCTACTAAAAATACAAATATGATTAAAGGGACATTCTTAAATAAGAAATGTCAATTGATGATTATGATAAGCTTCTACTTTGTGGAATTAATTTTTTTTTCTTTAAGAATGAAATTTAATAACTTTCAATTTAATTAATACAAATGTAAACTTTAAAATTTTAAATTACTTTCAATAAAAAATAAATAAAATACAACCCCTGGCTTCTTTCAAATATTTACTGAACCTGAATAAAATCCAAAATATGTTAAATGTAATTTATTTTACATTGGATGAAATTACTTCTCAGAATAAAAGCCTTCTCTTTAATGATTAAGTCAGAATGTTTTCAAAGGGAATCCCTCTGGGAAAGGGTTCATTCGGTCATGATTGTGAATCGCTAATTAAAAAAGGAATTGAAAAGTTTATTATGAATTCCTATTGATGGCTGTCGAGCATTCCTAATTACAGGAGCCCAGAATGAGAAACTATTGGAAATGGTATGCTAATAATTATACTCAGGTAATCAAACATACATAGTTTTCAAAGCAATTATATATGTTTAGCGCAGTATTCTTCAATCTATTTTAAAAAGGTTTATAAATGCTTCTACAAAAATTGTATTAATAATTTATATTTTCACTGGTATGAAATAAGTATTAATAAACTTTAAAATGTTGATTCCCTGATAGCATAAGTTTTCGAAAAACACTCATATGATTGACAAACCACCCCGAAGAGAAAGAACACAAAGTTAACAAAACGTGGGTATAATAGAATTAAAAATTAATTATTGTGGATTGGTGATTGACCAGTGAATAACTGAAGAGAATTTGGTCGGGATGTTTGTTCAAAAAATCAAAAACAAAACAAAAACAAATTAAAAATAAATAATAAAATAAATTTTTATATTTTCCGACGTTTCGGCCAAAAGTTCAGGCCTTTGCCAGGCCTGGATTCACGTAAGGTTGAACTTCGACCAAAAATTCATTAATGTCTCCTAAGTGAATTTACAGGGTTGATGGTTTTGAAGATAGTAAACATCTTGATAAGTTAAATTCGATTTTGGGTTTTTTGGTCCTTTTTCGTAGTATATGATAGGTCTTTGAAGGGAGGTGGGGATACATTTTATGAAAATTGCAGACACCCACACCTCTGGGTATACTTCGGCACTTCCACTAACCCCATATAAAATAAAAATCTTCAGTATGCAGAACAATACTACAGAAGTGTAGGTATGTTCTAGACTTCTATGCTTTTTTTAAATTTTATTTTCGCACCTCTAAAACGTTTTCAAATAATTTAAAGGGTGAAATTTTATATATAAATAAAGTTGGTGTTTGATAAGTACGTTTTTGGGGTTTCAATTTTTTTCTTCTAATTCTGATACTTTTTGCCCATTTTCCCTCCGGTTTTGAGGTTTATGTACCTCTACAGCCTCTCATAATTGAGTTCAGAGATTGAAATTTGTATGTGAATTGAAATTGTGGTAGATATGACTGACTTCTGTGGTCTTAACTTTTTTCTTTCTTCCATGCCATTTTAATAAATTAAGTTTTGAAACAAACCAACAATTTTAATAAATTCTGTTTAAAAAAAACAGCTCATGAATACATATTTAATTTCCACTTGAATTGTAAAACAGTTTGGTAAATAATTTTTTTTTAAAATCAGCGTACAAAAATATTGGACTGTTTGGCCTATATAACCTTGTTATTTTGACATTTTGGGGATGAAGTTCATGAAAAACGGCCCAATATTTTTCAAGGCCGCATCTGGTCTCGATTTGGTGATCAGATTATCTTCTAATTAAAGTGTAAAGCAAATAAGTGGTTCATGAATTTTTATTACTCATTAAACAGACAAAATTTACCGATCTCCAGATTGTAAAAGCCCTGTTTTCGAGAATTTTTATAATAGTTATGATAAGATGACACCATTCACGAAGTTTTAGAAGGATGTTAATAATTTGATAAAAAGAGGTCTGTACCGCGGACTGTTACAATAACTGAAAGAAATAGCAAACAGATTTCGTTTTTATTTGAATAACAATCACCTGATTACAAAAATTGTCAGTTTTCAAAATGATTCTATTATTCAGTTGAGTTTATAGACCATGCAAGTAATGTTTTTTTGGAATAAAATTATAATTCCATTACAAGGAACTTCATGGTAACCTGAGGCCACTTTAGTAAGGCCACCCTCCCTCTTATTCGCCACTCAGAAATGCGACTGCTGTAATGAAATAGGGACGTGACACGCATGAAACCCAATTAAGCAAATAAGCAGACAAAATAAGCTGCGTATACAAAGCCGTTCTGTGTTTTAAATGCGGAATAAACAACGCAGTTCGGGACTGACCCAAAATATACATTTACTTCAGGCTTTCAGAATATGGAATACAATACGATTTCAATCTTTGGCCGATACATAATATCGGCGAGCTGAGGAACAAGAAAGACCCCGCCGCGGAGGAACAATACACTACGTGGTATAATGGGGGCGGAGTGGACGCAGCGATTAAGATGGATCAGGAAAAGTGGACCGCAACGCGGCAATTAGACACCATTGTCTGTCTTCTCCTTTCATATGTCTTCTTTGTACGTAGGCTTCCGTGTCGCTACTGTAGTGTCTTCTGTCTTGTGTATCCCTGCCAGCAGCAGCCGTTTTAAAAACTTCAATGTTTATAACTTTTCCAAGAGGCGAGGTGAACAAAGTAGGCTTTCCCTAATATTGGAATTTTTATTTGAGTACGCCGAAGTCAAAAGGAATGTTATGTGTTTGGGATGAACGTAGGTATGCAACGATTTTTTAAGCGAACGGATCGATCGATATTTCAGTATGATGGTTCAAATTACTCCATGAGATGTAGTGAAATAACTCTACAGAATAACTAAATACAGAAATAACTCTAAGGGAATGTACTTAAAACAACTTTAGATTCTATTCGCGTAACTGACGTAAACGAATATTTAAATTTGACGTAAACGTCGGGAGCTTTCCACTACACTTAACAGCTCTTGGCACGAATATTTCGTCCCATGTATTGATGCATGTCAACATCCAAAAGAATCTTGAGTTTCGTTCTGAGAAGGAAGGCACCCAACTACGTACATCAAGTGTGAATTGTAAACGTCCATTTTCTTAACAATCTAGAAAGTTGTTTGAGTGGATATGCTAGTATATTCTCCCTTAGGATGGATAAGGGTTATTTCTCAAGTCAAGTTCTTTAAAAATTAAAGCATTTTTATAAAGTGCTTCTTTATTTAAATCTTGAATTAATTAAAATATAAAACTAGTGGACAGGAACTGTGTTTGCAAAATCATGACTGAACTGGGAGTCCCCGGTAAGTTGGGTGAAACCTTTAAAGTTTGAACGGGCTTATGACATGGAGATGGACTGGCTTATGGTCACCGATGTTGTTCAACTTAACCTTGGAGAAGGTAATAAGAGCAACATCACCGGCAAATGGAGGGCTCTACATCGGTACGAATCATAAAATCCTTGGATACGCAGATGATTTTGCTGTCCTTTGGAAGTCATCAAGAAGGCATTGAGAAACTCGCTAATATTATGATAAAACAGAAAGAGCAGATAGGTCTACAAGTAAATGAAGACAAAACAAAATATATGATAATAAGCCGAAAATTCCACCCCAATATAAAGATCTGCGCAAAAGGAATAGGAAAATCATTCCCAAGAGTAGACAAATTAAAATACCTCGGCTCCACAATAACCTCAATGAATGACCAACGATCAGAAATAGACCAGCGTATAACTAGAGCATTCTTCTCACTTTCAAAGACTTTGAAATTCCAAAAAATCTAAAATTAAGGGTGTACAATGCTATAATAAAGCCCCTGTTCTAATATATGAATGTGAGAACTGGACACTAACCAGAACCATAGAAGAGCGATTGGGATCAGAGTAGTAACACATGAAGAAACAAATAAAGAACTTCTTACAGAAACTGGTCAATCAATATTCCATGATATGAAGAAATGGAGGTTAAGATGGGCGGGGCATGTAGCTCGTAGCAACCCATCTAGTTTTGCCCAAAATCGGTCTTGGTCTTGCAAAGTGCAAGACCAAGATCAACACCACCTATCTGTTGCAAGACCAAGACCAACACTGGTAAAAAAAAAATCGATTTTTTGAATAGAAATTGAGGCAAAATAGACACTAATACTTGACAATTTTAGTAACTAATGTAAAGAATTTGTGCAACCAATTTTCTTTTGCATTTACCTCTTCTAATTTTTCATTCCGACTTAGTTAAGTTTCTCCTATTTAAAAAATTACAGTAATAACACCCCTCTCCTGTGGTGTCCCTCAGGGTTCCTCTCTCTCTCCTACTCTGTTTGCTATTTACATCAATGATCTTCCCCTCCAGATCCGTCACTCCCGATACCACATCTATGCAGATGATTTCCAAATATACCTTTCCTTTCCGTCCTCCGACCTATTAACTGCCACAGAAACTTCAAGAAGACTTAGATGGAATTTGTGACTGGGCAAGAACAAACAAGCTGAAGTTGAATGCGGATAAGACAAAGGCAATCTTAATAGGCTCCAATCACCTCCTTAAAACTGTCCCTACTATTCCAACTCTGTTCCTACATAATAGCCCCATCAAATTTCACCCCACCATCAAAAATCTTGGAATAACCATTGATCAAACGCTTTCTTGGAAAAATCATATATCCAATATTTCCCGCCGTGCCATTTCCATCCTAAAACGTCTTAACTACTCCCATCACCTATTTCCTTTTGAAACCCGTAGGCTCCTAGTCACTTCCTTAATTTTTCCCCACTTTGACTATTGCTGTACGGTATATGGGGGCCTCTCTGGGGATCTCGAGGCGAAACTAAAACGTTTGATAAATTGCTTTGTACGATTCATCTTCGGGATCCCAAGGGACGCCTCTGTTTCCCATCTTTACGCGGAGTTAAATTGGCTTTATCCTTCCTACCGTCGTAAGTATTTCCTGGCATCCTTCCTCTTTCAAGTCATCCAATCCCACCGTCCCTCATACATCTCCGAGCTCCTTCAATTCAAATCCTCTGTTCGTTCCGGCAATACTCGTTCCCGGTCTTCTGATTTATACATAAGAGCCCACCGAACCGCTGCTTTCGACAAATCGTTCATTATCCGATCCTCATCTCTATGGAACTCCATCCCTTCCCATATCCGTCAATCTAATACCCTTCCTACCTTTAAATCCCGCCTGTTCAATCATTTCTTATCCATCCAGTCCCCATAAAATCGTAAATAGATACTACTGAAAATATGTACATAAGTTATTAGTTCGTTCTTCATTATTTGTTCTCCAATTTTTGTTTATCTATTTTTTTTTTCTCTTTTATTATCAACTGATCAAAGTTGGAAAGCAACTTATATGTATATGTGTATATATACATATAATAATATATATATATATATATTATTTTTTTAACCAAGACTGTTCAATTACTCTGTATTTTTATTTATATATCTCTGAGGCTCCTTAGCCCTCATTTCTGTCTTCCTGTATTATTCTAAAGGGACTCGTCCCAGAATAAATAAAGTATTATTATTATTATTAATATATCTCTAGTAATAAGCTAATAGGTAACTACAAGACTGTTATGGGAGTCTTGCGCAAGATCAAGACCAAGACTCGTCTCGGTGTCGCATTTGGGTAACACTAAATCCATCTGGAAGCCTCTGCATAACAATCAATGCCTCGATAGAAGGCAAAAGATCACGTGGAAGGCCAAAAAAAAGGAGATGGATAGATAGAATCAACAAAGATTCTATAGAACTGCTTGCAGATAAATGGAAAGAAATAGCCCAAGGCAGGCAGAGATGGAGCAGGCTTGTTAAGGCGGCAAAAGCTCTACATGGTCTGTAATGCCAACAGAAATAAATAAAAATAAAATAAAAACTGGGCCCCTTCGACATATAGTAGCCGATTCTTCCCTGTTTTTATAATGCAATACCAATGCTTTTTAACCTTATTTTTCCTGAAAAACATGTATTGTTTCTGAAAAACCATTAAACACGATAATAGAGGTTTTGAATATAGCTGGTATAATCTGTCGTGTGTGTCTGCAATAAATTACAGTAATTTAAATTCATGGTTATTACGAAACGTATTAGTGAAAAATACCTTAAGAACCTCGCTAAAAGTGAAAATATCTATAAATACATAATTTCCCAAACTCTCAATAAAGTAAGTCAGTAAGTCAGGGTTGCGTGACGGGCCGAAGCCCAGAGTTGCCATTGGCCGATCAATCATGCATGAAAATCACTGAATTCCCCACAACTTCAGTAATAAATAATATACTTACTCTGAGTCTTTCTTCTGGTTTTCCGGTATCTCGGCTTCGTAGTTGGGCATGTAGAACTGTGGGGCCCTCTTACCCCCGACGATGGACAGCCGTTCTTCGGGCGTGGACTGGTACCTCCGTTCGTCGACCCTTCCGTTCTGGTCCTCAGCCTTCACGTAGAGGACGTACTCCATGTCCAGCTGGAACGGGTCGGTCCCTCTGGTACGGACGACACCCGATCTCTCGTCCACTTCAAACCTACCGCCAGCTGAACAAACAGAACAGTTAGAATCAAGAGGATGTTCTGCCAAGTATCTTGTTATATTTACATGAAATCATTTTTGAGAGTGGCAGTGGTATAAATGCCTAGAACATTCTTGAATATAGCAACAATAAGTAATAACTAAATTAATAATGTGATTAAACCTTTTCAATAATATTTTCTAAAAGGAGTTTATGCACTTGACATAAGCAATATTTGTGTAGAAAAAATGGGGAAAAAAACTTTTTTGTTAGGGGAAAAATGTATAAAATATAAGGAACGTTTTTCTAAAATTTAATAATGAAATTAAAGTCCTTCTTATTCCATTACATCACAAAAAATGAAATAATAAAAAATAAGTTATACTGGTTGTAAAACGTGATGTTTAATTCAGTGAGAAGCTTGTTTGAAAATATAATAAAATGTACAATATAAAGAAGTCATAAAAAAACGAAACAATTAATGTTAAAATTATGTACACATAAAAAGGCTTAAGAAAAGTTTTGGGTACAATAGATCGAACAATTTAAAATAACTTAAATAAAACAAGAAAAAGAGAACATGATAATTTAAGAAACTAAAGGAACAATACAGTAAATCAAGCCATAAAAATAAATATAGAACAATAGAATTAATTGATAAAGATAAAAAAAAACATAATAAATACAAATATAAAGCAAACTTAAATAAATGAAAAATGGATCCAATTGATGGTAATAAAATTTAAAACAATAATAATTAACAAAGTAATAATAATTAGCATCCTACATAAAAACTCAACTCGACTCATATATACGAATATAGGACGTCAAAATTTTTAAAATGTTCCACATATATTTTTGTTCTAAATTATTTATGTATCCTGATTAACAAAAACTATGCTAAATTTGCAACAAAAAAAAAATTTCGTATTTCAATTTTTTTTTTTTTTAAATACAGCTCAGAGTTGATCCAATACTTCAATTGCAGTTCGCGTGGTGATTTAACTCGGACTTCTGTAGCGAAAGTTTTTTTTTTTTCTGCTCCTCGCGTATCAATTACATTTTAAAATTTATTGATTTTACCTCGAGTATAGCAGTCGTCGAAATATCTTCACTACAAGCACTCAAATTTGATTGTATTGTACAACCAAAAGTTATGTTAAAATAATAATTTAACACATTGTTGCCACGTTCGTTTTGATTTTTGCCACATCCAATTTGAGATTATTTCTTAACCCAGCAAAAGAGAGATGTTTTCCAACTCGAATCATTGCTAAATAACATTATTTATAGACTATATAGGTACATGTCAGTAGGATTTTTCCAAATGCCGAAAACTCAGCAGAAAAAAAAGTAGAGAAAGGCAATCAAATCTTTTATTTTTCTTTAATATACTAAGCAATCGGAGAAAAATCTCACAGAGGTATTTTTGGGTATATTTTAATAAATTACTTTTGAAGTTATAACATTGCTATATTTTAGAGCATCTAGAAATAAACATATTAATTGGTCGGATTATGAATTGATAATTTGATGAATGATTTACATAAATATTAGGCAACTATAGCTATCAAATAAAAATTATTATTGTAAAAAAAAAAATAACTAGTGGTACTAAGCTCAAATGTAAGATTAGACAATAATCGAACAAAACATGAGCCATCAAATCAGTAGTTGTTTAGAGGGTTGTATTTATCGTTTGGAGAAACAAAATATGATAAAGGTAAAATCGAAACAATTTATGATGATCTTCTAATTAAACCCTCTTTTATTCCATTACTTCGGATTTAAAAAAATCACCATAAGTTTTTTCCACGTAGATTGGTCATTCGTCCCACTGTGCGCAGGAAAGAACATCAATATTACAGTATTTTTAATGCAATACCCGTGACCAGAGAATTAATTGTAGAATCATTATTTTTATAATTGTTTTGTTTTGTTTTGTGGTTTATAATGATACTTTTATTAAATTAGAAAGTTTAATCATTAATAATTCAATTTTGATTTTCTTCGGTCTCTTTTTTTTTTTAATGTTGAAAAATTTAATTAATTTTTCATAAGTTCTTAGTAATGATTCTTTTTTAATAATATATATATATATATATATTTATATATTTATATTCGATTTTTAAATCTCTAGACTAAGCATGTTGTTATCATATTTCTAATATTTTTGTCTAATTATTAGTTTACGTTAAACTGCTAGCCAAAATCGATAGTCGATTACAATAGTCTATTATTTGTGCTAATAATTATTGATAATCCGTTTACGTCAACATTGAAGTTGTGTTTAATGCGGTTGATTGTGAATTAGGTACAATAGTAAATGGTTGGTATGCCCTCCATCAATTTCATTTTCACAATCGAAGATCTGTCAGTTGCAGAAGCACTTATTACCACCGGAATTCATAAATCCAATAGATTAATACGTCAAGTTGATTAATACCTTCCATCAAAGCTCAGTTTTTGTTACGGCTTCCTTGAGCGTCAATACATCTCCGATTTAAATTAGCAAAAATGAATTATTATGATTTTTAAAAAAGTACGTTTTCCCTTGCTTTTTTTACTTTCACTTACCTATATATATCTGGGAAATTATCTGAGTTTTCAACGGAAATAAACGATTATCATTGTATAATTAAGTGGTCTGTAATGGTCTGTAGTGGTCATTTAGGCCTTATACCTGTTGATGTCACTTTACAGAGCTTAAATGCCCAATATTCATTTGCGTCTTCCTGTAAAGTACATTTAATATGGTTTCTTTTATATAATTAACTATCTCTCATTATTAAGAGTTACGAAAACATGCTAAATATATTTTTTGAAACAATTTGATAATTTAATAAAGCATAAAAAAATAAAAATTCTTATCCAGGTCTAAAATCAATCTCCGGCAATACTAGTCAGAAAGTATATGGATAATATATCGTTGGAAAGCGGAGAATTTTAGAAAAACAATATCTAATATATAAAGTTGTAGAAGGTACCGGACAGCGGCAAAAAAATTATAAATAATAATGTATGAAAACTAACATTTATCGTAAAGCACATTTTTTCAATGAAATTAAATGAAATTTTCTAACTAAATGTAAACTTTTAAAATATTTTGAGTTAGAAAAAGTATTTAAAATCCACCTAATCAATGCAATGATATTGTTTAAAAAACTATTTCATTGTACTTGTGTGAAAGAAGAAATAAACTATAAAATCATTTCATGGATGAATAAAGAACATGTTAATAACCTTTAATACATTTACTGTAGTTTAATAATTCTAGATCCGATATTATATTTAAATAATTAGATATCAACGTCCGTTTATTCAGAAATATTGTCATGTAACTTTTTAGAAAATTAAATTAGTGAATAATTTGATGAAATTTCCTTTTGTGATTTTCCAACAGAATCCACTTACAATTAGTGTGACAACTTTTGACCTGTCTATGACAGACACTGCAAATCTCTTAATTCCGTTTTAATAAACTTTGCAATGGAAAATAACAGTTTAATGACTTATAGTCGTACAATCCATAATCAATGGATCGTATAATCCATAATGAACCGGTGATATAATAAATAGAACGTTTGTAATTTTAATGGTATTTATGATTTTTTAAATCAACTCGGGTAAAAATGAAATTCAAAAAGTTTATAATAGCCCAACATGGCCAGAAAAAAATTTCTATTCAAAGTCAAGCGGTAAGTGAAAGTTATGTGTTGAGCGCATCAGTTTTTTTTCTATTATATTTTTTATTTTTTTACTCAAAGTTCTCCCTTTATCAAATTTTAAATAAAATACATTTCTAATCGTCTATTCTATGGTAGAACTGGTTAGTTTGATCTAACAGGAAATTCGCAGTCATTTCCCACCACACATTATCATTTCAACCATGTCACACCTATCAACGTTATCTAATAATCCGTATGTAATACTAAGTTGAAAAAAAAAAAAAGAAAAATATTATACACTACAGTAACAGAACGGTTGAAAAAGTAATAATAATAAATAAGAGAAAAAACAGATACAATTATGTTCATATAACGGTTGAAACAATAACTGGAAAAAATATAATATACCCCGATAATATAAAGGTAAACAAACAAGAAGTCAGACTTCATGGCACTTTCTTTCATTAATAATTTGTTATTATGTTTAAAGTTGAAGAAAAAACAACTTGGATATTATAGAACTGTAAAATCTTATAAAGTTCTTTTTCATTCCATTTTTACTAAATGAGAGAATTTAAAGCAAACAGACTATCTAGATAATGTAACCAGAAAACTAAAAAAACGGTTCTTAGGAACTGATTAATAGAATAGAGTAATGGGCTAGCCGAAAATATGAGCTGGCGCCTGAGTCAACAAACACGCTCAGAAAACTGGATTACAAATTGACCTGAACTGTTTTTAATTGTCTTAATTAGAATAAAGCTATAAAGATTAATTTGTTTTGAACGGTGATGGTAATACCGTAATAGAAAGGTTTTATACTAATTATGAAATTTTACTTTCACGCAAAAATTCATAATTACATGCAACTAGTACTGCATGGTGTGCATAGTAAAACTATTAACCACTAATTGTTGCATGAAAAATTGTCATTAATTAGTAAATGAGTATGATAAAAATAAACAAACGAAAAATTCTAAATCACATGAACTTTTTCAATCAACATAATTTTCATTTTAGAAAAAGAATGAGTAGAAAAAACGTTCCCGATTAAATAAATTTAGTCACTTGTTGTTACATTAAAATATTATTACTTGTCGAAAAATAGATATGATTTGCTTAATGGTAATTTGAATATTTGATTAAATGATATAAACGAAATAAGCTTTGAGCTTTATGAAAAGTCTTGTTAAAAAGCAAATAGAGTAAAATTTATATATATGTATTGTATTATTAAAAGATAAAACTTACCAAAAGTTTCTCCATTACCGAATTCAAAATTAATTTTCAATTTACTGCCTTCCTAAGTGAAAATATTTTGTCGCTGACGTTTTAATTAAGTAAAAATGTCTCGATCTCATAATTTTCCTCAAAAGTATCTTTAAAATGAAATCCAAGGGTAAGTATTTTACTGGATTTTAGTGGATATAATGATTTCTTGGGAAGTTAATAATAAAATAATAATAATAATAATGGGAGAATAATAAAATCTGTGATGAACAAATGGATGCTATATAGAATGCCAAAGATCTTATAAACTAATGGCTCTCCAATAAATTTGAAAATAATCGTACATTCACTTTCAAATCGATTTCTGACAAATTTAAGCCATTATAAATATGTCAATGAAAAATAATATAAATCGAATGGAAATTACCAAAAATAAGGCATATTTAAATTTGTAAAGTTCACTTCATTAAAGTATTTTCTAAAATTGTAAATAAAACAAATATAAACTTAATGCTATTCCATTATCATTGTTAACATGTTTTATATATTTTGTGACAACCCATGAACGGTCTTGAATTCAGTACTATTTAGAGAAAGTAGTGTTTCTTAGCCAACAATTGTGCAAGGAGAGGATTTGACTGATATAACGCTCAACTACCAGGTTTTCTCCCACTTAATAGATAATAAATAAGGGTATCCACTTTATAGAGGCTGGGTGTGTCCGAGGAGGGGTCTCCTGATCCCAGGGTCGCTCCCTTGATAGAACATAATTTATAATAAATAATTTTTCTGCCATGAGCCGGGATTCGAATCCGAGACCTGAAGCATTGGAAGATGAGTGTTCTACCCATGAGCTATCCCAATGTTTTATATGTTTTACTCATATTCATTCAATTTTTTTTTATTACGTAGAAAAATTATTTAGAAGCTGTTACTAATCTGAAACTTTAATTTAATGTTAAGCTTCTTCACCTTCATTCGAATATTGACTACCGAAGTAAGCAAGCTCTATTTTCTTTGTTTTTAAAGACTATCGAGAAGAATATGTATTTAATATTAGTAAAAATAAATCGACAAAAAATCGACCTAGTTCTCTTTCATTTGATTCTAGAACAGTTAAATTGCAGGTGAGTTTGCCAGTTTGTGTTTCATGACCCTTTGCCGGAAAATCGGGGAGGATGGAAATGGATGAAATATGACCCAGAGGAGCATTAAAATCAATATAGCAACCTAATCATTGGGAATATAGTCCCTTCGAATGGGAAAGCCATCTCCCGGAGAATATTTACCCCTAAGGAACATCCAAGGAAATCATTGTATCCACTAAAATCAAGGAAAATGCTTATCATTGGAGTTCATTTTAAGATCACCTTTTAAGAAAATTATATGGGTGAATAGACGAAGGATAGCGGAGATCGAAACGTTTTCACTTAATTAAAAAGTCAGACGCAAAACATTTCCACTTAATAAGGAGAATTTCAACAGATTAAGAAGGTAGAAAATTAAAAATTAATTTTCAATTTAGTAACAGAGAAAGTGTTAGTAAGTTTTTTTCTTTTTCGATAAAATAAAACAAGGGCGTATCCTGCTCAAAGCAGTTTAATTTCTTACAAGTAGAGGGTATTCTTTTTTCGTAATAAGTTATATTCAAAATATTTAAATACTTTTTTTCATTAAATCTTTCAAGGGCATATATTAATAATGAAATTTATAATATCGAGGGAAACGCTTTATTTCACTCCTTATACATTTTGTTCCATGCTTTAGCAATGTTGCCCATTTCCAAGTCAAATATTTATAAATCTTTATTATATAATCATACTTTTTTTTAATATTATCATTGTAACATTTGTCTCCTCAAAGTCCTTCAAATTATAAAATTCATGAATTATTTAAGAAAAGTCAATTCTAAAACAACTGTGGAGAGTAAAAAAAAAAAATATTTTTAATTTACTTAAATGCTAACACATTTTCGTCACCTTTAAATAGAACACTGTAAGCTTTGGGCTTACCTAATAGATATGTTTACCTAATATGGGCGTACCTAATAAGTAAGTAAGCCCATAGCTCACATTCGACATTAGGCTATTGTATTTAAAGGTGACGAAAATGTGTTAGCATTTGAGTAAATAAAATATTTTTTAATTTTTGGACTGTTCACGGTTGTTTTAGAATTGACTTTTTATGAATAATTTATGAATTTTATGATTTGAAGGACTTTGGGGAGATAAATGTAATAATAATAATATATAAACATTCGACTTGAAAATGGACAAAATTGTCCGAAACGTCGACGGTAAATTTACAATCAATTAAAGTATGGAATAAATGTATAAGGATGAAATAAAGCGTTTTCCTAGATATTATAAATTTTATAATTATATAAAATTATATTATAAATACTAATACTAAAAACTAACCAGTCGCAATCAATAAACAAAATATATCCAGATGTGGCTTATTTATTCTCAGAATTATATTTCTATACTCTTAAAAAGTAAAAGATCTACAAACCTCTTCTCCATCTGACAAATAGGTCTTTAGCAAAGTACAATAATGGATTAGTTATGTTCAGAGATAGCTGTCTTGTGGCATAACTAGAAGGATATTTTTCAGGTGGAAAAGCTTATCTACTATTAAGTAAATTATTGCTTTAACAGTGGTTGTAAAATATGAAGCTTTACCAATTGTTTGTGTTGAATAGACTCGATAATATTATATATGAGAAAACTTATATATTATATAGTTTAGCAACTTACCCATAATAATAAGCCTTTGAATAATAATAATAATATACCATTGAAAAATATTATTGAAGATTTAATATGAGAAGGAGTTGATAGGGTGGTACGCTAAAATAAATACTAAATTATACAAATAGTATTATTTAATTTTTGTCGATATTTCGACCCACTTTGCAGGTCGAATCAATATAAGTAGATATAAAATAAGAAGAAGTTGCCTGATAAAGAAATAAAAAGATGATATCGAAGATATAGTGGGTGTCAATGTAGTTAAAATATCAAATATTATATGTGTAGAAGATACAAACAAAAATGGAAAACAAGTATGAATAAAAATAGAAAACAAGTATGCTATATTCTCCTTTGTTTTCTATTTTTATTCATACTTATTTTCCATTTTTGTTTGTATCTTCTACATATATAATACTTGATATTTTAACTACATTGGCACCCACTATATCTTTGATATCATATTTTTATTCCTATTTATTTTATTTTCACCATGTTTTGTATCTTTTGTAGCCCTTTTTTTTTTTCTTTTTTTTTTTTTTTTGTCCTCCCCTTCTTCGCCTTTAAGGCTATACGGGGGTTTTCCCGGGCCAGGGAATGTGGGGGGGGGATTTAAAAACTCCTCTGGGCACCGGGACGCTAACTCGTGACTATTTTTTTATCAAAGTCTTATGTCTCAGGTTGCCGGGCAACGGCGGTGCAGTGCACACGCGTTAGCCCATTCGGCCACCCTGCCCACTTCTCTTTTATAGCCCTGATGAAGACCTGCAAAGTGGGTAGAAATTTCGACAAAAATTAAATAATACTATTTGTATAATTTAGTATTTATTTTAGCGTACCACCCTATCAACTCCTTCTCATATTAAATCTTCAATAATATTTTTCAATGGTATATTATTATTATTATTCAAAGGCTTATTATTATGGGTAAGTTCGTAAAATATACCTATAACAATTCATTGTATCACGGGCTTATTATTATGGGCAAGTTCCTAAACTCAATGCTAATCCATTGATGAATTCCCGATTCTCATAACTAATCTCAACGATCATTATTGCTTCAGATGGATTTCTGATGCTCGTCAGTGATCTAAGTTCTGAGTTTAGGAACTTGTCCTACTTCTATAATATTGCTGCTATTATCATTATTTATTATAATATAATATTTCAATGCGACTCACTCCTGTCCCTGACGATGAAGTAGTGGATGTTGTGGTCGGTGTCCGGGTCCCTGGCCTGGAGGGTGAAGACGGGGGTGTTGGGGGGTGCATTGAGCTGTACCACCGCCTGCATCGGGAGCGGCCTGTTGATGAAGTAAGGCGATTCGTCGTTGACATCTTTCACGTGGATGATGACCCTCTGGTTGTCCGTATCTGAAAAAAACGTAAAGCCATCTTAGTCAAAGAAGTTCCAGGAAACCAAAAAGCACAGCAAGCAATTCAAGCTTTAATTAAAGCAATATATACAATCATTAGGCTAAAGCCTTTTTATTTTTTTTTTTTTTTACATGCACATTCAGAAAATTATTATTATTGTATATTCAGATTAAATAACAATGGTGTTATGTTATAAAGATAATAACTAAACATAGATTTTATTAATAAAAAAAAATCATCTTAAAGAATAATGAAGAAATAAATTAATTCCTGTATACAAAGTTGATTACATAAAATCAATTCAATGGACTTTTAATCATAATTTAAATTACAACAACATAAAGAGCTTTCCAGATTCCCTTATTTACCTCCCATTTCTACAATACATTGAATTATATAACTCTAGATCATGAGTAAATGAGTTGCGTTGGTTGGTTGGTTGGTTATGTAGTAAAGGCGTAAAACCTGTTAGTCATCAACGCCGTTAATTAAAATTATATATTATTATATCTTTTGGTTATGAATATTAAGAATTGGATAAAATTTAAAAAATGTAAAATGCACGTTAAGGTTAAAAGTTAGTTATTGTTATTAATGTTCGCACGTTTAACGTTTCACATTTCGCATGTTTAAAATTTAGTTCGACTAAAAAAAAAAAAGTGGTCAGAAAAAAAATAGTAAAAGGAAAAAAAGAGGTGGGGAGTGCTGCGTGAGAGGTTCAGATATTTTTTAAGATTCCTTCTTCGGAGAGAAAACATATGATTTTGCCTAGGATTTTTTCATCATTTCCCAAAGCAGCCGGTGTATTTGCTGGTATTCCCCTTATGTTTAATTGTCTAATGTAAACAGCATAACTCTCGAAGATATGGGCCACTGTCATTCTCTCTCCACACTTCCGACAAGTGGGTGGGTTTTCTTTCGTAATTAAGTGAAGGTGAGTAAGCCTGGTATGACTTATTCTTAGTCGCGTAAGGACAACTTCCTCTCTGCGTTTACTGCCACTGGGACTGCTCCATGGCTTTACTTCCTTTTATATCGCTTTTAATTTATTTGGAGGATTTAAATGAGTTGCGCTATTGAATGAGTTAAATGAGACTTGAATCCTGCAAGACCAAGACCAAGACTGGTTAAATTTTTACATTTAACTCTTTCAATTTTTTCATTAGAGATTTAGTTAAGTTTCCATATTCTGAAAAATGACAGCAATATCTCTATAGTGTGTATCGGTAACTTTTTTTTTAAATGTTATTAAATGTCAGCCGAAACTATGAAAAAAAACGTCTAAATCGGACCAGTTGTAGCAACGTTAAAGTGTATTGAAGTTAATAGACGGTTTTTAATAATTGTTCATTTGTCCGTTTACATTGTTTTAGCCATCAAAGAAATTGTACTACAATGATTTCTCTGACTGGTTATCAGAAAAACCAGTCAAATTTAATTGTGTTAATTTAAATGAAGATATTTAAAACTGAAAAAAAATTAAATAGATAGGAAAGGCATGTGAGTGGACACACCAAATATTTATTTAAATGATTGTTGATACTGTATAGATTGTATTTATTTTACGATTTTTCAATTCCAAAGTGGCGCCTATCTTTCTTGACAATGCCTTTGATGCATTTTCAAGTTAAATTTTATTGATTTGATTGAACCTTACTATGTTTATGTTAATAAAACATCTTAACGTACCTCTTCTGTAGCGTTTTTCTAAGATCTACAGGTTACTCGCTAATAGGATACTGACTAACTGCAAGACTTTCGCAAGAACAAGACTCGTTTTTGTCTAACATTTGGGCAACACTATACTATTGCTATTCTCTTGGGCCCGGGAGCAAATCCGGATGTGATGAGTAATCAATATTTATTGATTATTAAATCAGGAGACCATTGACTTGAGCTCTAGATAAATCCTATTAGGGATGGAAGGCCGCTTATCTGAAGAAGAGGGAAGGCTGAAGCGGAGGAAACGTATTGATGTTTGCTTTAGTTCGCCATTACCTGAGGATTAGGGCTAAGAAACCTGTCCCCGTCAGCTCGCTACAAACTTAGGAAGAGGCCCCCCTCCACCTCCCAATCCTCTCTTAGATATCGGCGGCAACTATCATTAAAGCCACCAATTTGTCTATAACTTTACTGACAATAAAGCGGATCTCGTTTAATATTGATCCTTGATAAATAATAATGATGAGGGAGCATAACATAAAACATAACGCCTTAGGATAATAAATTATTTATCTTCGATAAATACTCATATAGGCAAAAGATATCAACAACTCATATCAAAGACGGATATCGGCCGTTCTTAAAAAATAGGAGCCAAGACAATTTTTGTGATGCTGCTTCAATTTAAAGTAATTCTGATAAATTTTTTTTTATGATTCAACTTGAACATTCCTAAATAAAATCTACAGAAACAGTTTGAGTTGAACCTATAAAATAAAACGCTGCAAATTACTAACAATGGTTTATTATTTCCAAACAATTTAACATCAAAATTAAGATTACTTTTCATGTAACATTAAGGAAAAGGGATTCCTAACAATTGGCCTTTATAATTTTCATTTTTACCATTGATAATTTTCTTTAAAAATAGACACCATTGCTAGTTGATGTAAAACTTTCAAAAAAACAAAAACCAAAACAAAAGATATAAGTACTGCAGTAGAACTAAATGATGTATTTACATATAACTCATTACTTAAATACTTACTATCAGATTTGACTTTCCTTTTTCTCTTTTTTCAACAGAAACACAGAGTTTACTGCATAGTAGAATGTAACGTATTTTTTATTTTTTCTAAAAGTGTATATTTATATTTTACCACTGTACATAATTTTAAGAGAGTTGGCATGGTTTCAAGAGTTTTGTATATAGATTTTTTTTTATTTTGTATATAGTATGTATAACTAATATTTTCTTTACTTATTAGCACAACAGAATAAGTTTTAAATAACTGCAGTGATATAATGATCTTATGTTTTTCTTATGGTAAAACTTAAATAAAGTTTTAAAGTTTCTATATAGTATTCAAGAAAACATTTAGTTTCCATTAAATTATATATAAGTGGAAATTATTAATTATTATGTTTTCGACACCTTTACCCAACTTTAACGATTTTTAAAATTAGATATTATTTTTTTCTGAATATCCTCAACCTTCTTTTGAACAATATATTACAACTTCTATTTTCAAAAATTTCTTTTCTAGCTGCTTAGTTAACCATGAAATTCTTTCTTGATATGTATTGAGCAATTTTAATATACTACTACTACCAACAATGAGAAATCTTCAATCAATTAAAATAAACAAAATCAATGGTACTTTAGCGAAAGCCGTTCAGAAAATACGAAACAGTATTTAATTACACATTAATAAAACGAGTTTAATTAAAATTGTTAGAGCCGTTTTCGATAAAATTGTAATTAAGAGTAAAATCCTTCTAAATAAAGTGGCAATTAAGATGAGCCTATTTTAATGAAAAATTTCATCTGCAATATCTACCTACATTAAATAAATAAATAAATTTCAGCATAGCTAACAATCAAAAGTATATTTTCGTTCAAAAATCAGATTCGATACACTTTATAAGTAAATGTTAAAAAAACAAAAATATTTTAAAACCTCTATATTCATACTCATAATTAGTTTAGTTCAAATACGACACCAAGACGAGACTTGGTCTTATGCACTCAGTCGTAGTCTTGGTCTTGCGCAAGAGTCTTGCAGCTATATATTAGCTTAATTCTTTAGAGATATTACTGTAATTTTTCAGATAGAGGAAACCAAGTCAAGCCCGCATCAAAAATTGGATAAGAGAAAGGTATATTGGTTATCTCAATTCTTTACACATAGTAGCTCAAATTTTGAAGTATTAAGAACTGTTTTGCCTTAATTTTTACTCATAAAAACAATCTTTTTTAACCAATCTTGGTCATGTTGTTGTTACAGTTATAACTTTTGATGTAACTGTTGTACTCTTTAAGGAAATACAAATACGTTTCAAATACTTTTGATTATAAAAATACCAAAAAAGTACATACGTTTTGAGTTATTCGTAAATATAATTTTGTATTTCTCGTAAAATTAAATTTCCTTTACGGGAAAATAGCTTCGAAACACGTATTTAAAGAGCTTCGATACAAATAAAAATTACTGATCTGCAAGAGAATACTGAAACCCATCTGAACCTACGGACTCAAACTGTGGGGAACAGCTAAATTTTCTAACATTAAACTCCATGATAGTGGAGAAGAGAGATATAAATCGGTGGTCAAGACATATGGTATAATTTAATATATACGTTTAAAGAGTACCTAGGACTCCATCTGGACAAACGTCTAACTTGGAATCTTCATACCAGACTGAAACGACAAGAAACAGCTCGAAGTTTCCGACTACTTCAACACTTACTAGACAAACGCTCTAACCTTCCAATTAACTATAAAAGACTAATTTACATGACTATAATAAGGCCTATTTGGACTTACGGAGTTGAGCTATCTTATGTTTTATCTATCTTATCTTATAGCTATGGGGCTCCACCAAACCTTCAAATTCCTCTCGCATCCAATCCTTACAATCCAAAATCCTCAATGATCCTTACTTTGTTACAAATAAAATCATCCATAATGATCTTAATGTTAATTATGTATCAGATTTGGCCCAATCCAGATATCTCTCCTTCCATAATAAACTTCATAACCATCCCAACCCTCTTGTTTCTAACCTTGCTTCCTATTCAATTCCTGATAATCCTCCAAGGCGTCTGAAAAGAAGATGGCCACGTGATCTCCTAATATAGACATATTATTAGAGTGCTACCAATGGGTAGTTTCTCAACATGTGTTTTATGACATTATATCTATGTGCGAATTTACCAGATATATTTTTTGTATACAGTTGTGAATATCATATAAATAAATAAAAAAAAAAACGTTTAAAGAGAATTGGAAAAATTCATTTAAGTCCGAGAGTCTGTGAGAAAAAAAATCGACATTATTTGATTAAAACTTTAAAACGCTCTCGCTCAAACTCCACTGGCTTTAGCATCAGTGACGCGGTTGAGAGAGTAGCGCATGGATTTCTTGGAGTTCTGCTTTTCCATATATAGTTGGAGAGAGAAGCCTTGCTTGGGATTCTCTGCCTAATTGTATATATTGTATAAAGGTATGACTGTGTAAATTTTTAAATTTACATATCTTTAGATTATTTTATTTTTTATTGTACATAGTTTTTGATGATTATTTTACTTTTGTTAATTTTATATTTTCTGTACATATGGGTGTGAATGTGTTCACATATCACTATAATTATTGTCCACGTGAGAGATTATTATATTTCTAAATAAATAAAAAATAAAAAATATTTATAACATTTATATTTAAAAAATGAGTCTGCCAGCCGGATCTTGATGCCTGTAAGAATTATTACTTGCTGATATAAAGAATATTAGACCAGTAATTTGAGGATCGAAACGGAAAATTCATTGCGTAAAATGTGGGAAAAGTCTTATTTATTAATTTGTATATAAGATTCAGAGATGTAAAAAAATTGATCAAGAAATAACGAATCACGATTCGAGAAATATAATGGATCTATATTAAAACTATTAGTATTTAGTATTTAGTTAGACGATTTTATAAGTTAAAATGATTGAACGACTAAAAAACTTTACTTCCCACGACGCAATAATTAATACATGTCATTAATTAGCGAGAGAATTGAATAAACACGGTCCCACGGCGACAGTTGTTTTTTTTTTTTTTCTTCTTTTAATACGACTAAGATAAAATTCCAGGCGTTTGTTGCACAACGGCGGCCCTTAATAAAACAGAACCAAAGGAAATTAGAGGAATGTAAATGATTAATGCCTATTTTATCTAAATAGCATTCCCAAACGAGGGTAGCGTAAATTACCGAATCCCATGCCACGCATAACTGAGGCCCAGTCCGACTTAGCAACATTTATAGCGTGCCGAGATAACAACTTATTACGGTGCGTGATGAAATATCAGAATGCAAAAAACACGCAAAACTGACGAGAAGAAAAAATAAAACCAAGAGTGAAAATCCGAAAAAGATATTTCAATATCAACGTCCTCTCTCTGCTCTAACATAAATCGCATTTTGACAAGGAAAAAAAATAAAAATGTAGTTGTTTGATAATCGAGAGTCACTAAGTTTGGATAAAGAAATACATATAATTTGACAATTAATAATAAAAATACACAGATGCCAAGATATCTTCTATGTGACTTCTTGATTGGTATGAACTCATTGTAGAAAATTAAAGGAAATTTGCAAAGCAATGATTCGATACATAGGCGATAACTTTTCTTTGGAGCTTTGTAGATAGGGAAGAAGGCTTTTCAAAAAATATTTATTATTTTGAAATATTTTATAATAATTTTTCAATGAGCAAAATGGTACCAGCATTAATATGCCTTGAGATTAAAATGTGTTGTTAGATTTTTATTATTTTAATAAGAGAGATTTTCCGACAAAATAATTTCCTCAAGTGAGCATAAAAAATATATATGAGAGTGACTCATTTGTAAAAACTTTGCCCCAAAAAAAATTGTGAAATTTTTCCCAACATAAAATAAAATTTTCCTATTATTAAAGCTATGAAATACGTATACATTTATGTCTTCTTTTCGAGAAACTATAGCAATTTCTTCGGTTTAACTAACTATGCAGGAGTTCCATGTATGTAGTAACTTCTAATAATAATAGCAAATAACAATTGTTAATGGATCGATATCATCCGGCCCGGTCTGATTCCGTTTGAGTCTCTCAGCTAGAGTCCGAAGTGGGGAACCCTTTATCAGGACAATTATATATATACATACATATATATATATATATATATATATATATATATATATATATATATATATATATATATAAAGTGTGTTTTTTTTAGGAATTTAAGTATATAATAAATTTACAAAAAAATTATTTTTGGAATCAAACATACTGTGGTAGATCAATACGAAATAATGATCTTCGAGACCCTCTGAATGGGCCCTTAATCATTCTACGACGGTAAAAACCAGTTATGTTGGGATCCATTCGAGGAGCCCCAAAAATATGAGAAAATAAACAACACAAAACAATTATTTTTGGGATCAAACATACCTTGGTTCTAGATAAATACAAATAAACGATATCGGTGTTTTCAAAGCTGCCCTCGGTATATGGTGATATTGATAAATGGACAATGATGGTAACCTATGGAAAGAGCCCCAAAATATGCGAAAAAGAACGAATACAAAACAATTATTTTTGGGGCACTAGAAAAACAAAAAACAATGATCTTGGGTCCCCTTCCGAACCCTCAGAGAGACCTAATTTGAATATTACATAGAGGGAAACGTTAAATGATATCCGACTTTAAAGATCCTGATAATAGACTTCAGATGCAGCGGAAAACTTTGGGCTGTGATCCAATCCTAAATAGAAAGGGTTAAATATAATTCTTTTTTTCTTTTTTTTACTTCTCGTTTTTTTATAAATAGAATGCGACAAGTAGGAAATTATTTGTTATATAATTAATTTTTTTCTAGCATCGTAAACTAGATAAATATTTTTAAAATCTAAAAACATGAAAAAATTAACTTTGTTAACATCTATAGAAAAGTTTTATAGTGGAGAATATAACAGGGAAAAGCGCTAATATTAAAATCAGGTTAGAAAAGTGCCACATAACGTTGTTAACGTTTGAGTCGAATTTTAATATAAACAATTTTGGATTGTTTATATTTCGTTGTCAATAGGAAGGTATCTTCAAAACAATATTTCAACGATTGATTTTGATGAAGTATTAATGGCGTTAATCTTAAGCGATAAGACTTTATGTAATTATTTCTATAATTACGCACACTAAAGATAAGGCGTACCAATAAAAATAAACTAAACGCTAAATTCACACATTTGTAGAAACAGTTCGACATAAACCTGCGGGTGACTCATTGAGCAATACCAATCACCCTGACCTCACCCCTTGGTTAAGGAGCACGCCGCAGGCCCAAGGGTCCGGGGATTAGTCTTAACAATGGCGGGATGAGGAGCGGTGATGGAGTGCCTGTTATTGGTCGAAGGGCGGCTGCCAAACGAAGCGGAGGTGTCATTGGTCCGTACTGAAGTCCATGTTATTGACTTTATCCAAGCTATTATTTATAGGGGTTGTAATAATTCTATTCTATTATTTTATAGGACAACTGTTGATAAGGACACTATGATATGTATGCCGGTCATTTCAAAACAACCACAATTAGATTTCTTATTTAACTTCAACTATGATTCTGCATTTGTCAACAAACTTTTGACAATCATCAGGTGTTCTCATAAAAAAAATAATGATACTGATATGTCAGGCATGAGGAAGGATAGCATCCAGCAATACCTCTTCTCTGACTTGATTCAATTACTATGGTTTGTTATGGAAGGAGTTCTCCCATCCATCGCCTTTTAAGTCTCCTTCCCGTATTTATGGGCATGTCAGCTGACGCCGTGTCTTTAATTAGTATTTTAGTATGCGAGAAGACTCACTGAGAATGACGTTCAAAATAGAAGGCTCAGCAGGTCTCCCGGAGAATATCCGAGTTAGAATTGCTGAAGATCCAAGGAAATGCAGTAAGATCATTTAGCAGAATACTATAGATGAGTGGAATCGGCGGTGGGTGAATACCACCAAACGAGCTACCTTAAGAAAATATTTCCCCAACGTCCAGGGCCGCTTGGAAGCGAAATTGGTTATTCCGGACTACTGGGTCTCTGAATTCCTTACAGGGCATGGGGGATTCCGCGCTAAGCTACATAGCCTAGGAAAAAATATAAATCCTCTACGTCCCAGAGACTGATTACCGGAGACAGCTAAACACGACATAGTCAACAGTACCGCCTATAATGGCCTAAGGACCAAAGAAGGTGCGGATAACTGGAACAGATGCACTCGCAGAAAACAAACTTCCTGAACTAGTGACGGAGCAAAACTATCTGTATTACAAGGATTATGTGTACGGGTGGAAAGCTGCTCTGGGCTCGACACACTTCAATCTGCGAAGAAGAGGACCAACTCAAGGAAGGCCACCAGAATGATGGAACTCTTTTCTAACCGAAGACACGAAGGAGTAAAGAATTGAGTTTGTGTTAAAAAATCTTGTTTGTTTAAAAGCTGGGGTGGCGCATACACATAAGTTGTGTGATATACCATCCCTGCAAAATCCTTATTGCCAGAAGGTAAGACAGGTTAGTGTAATTTAGTATGGAGTCGTTTTTAAAGTGTCTGTATGTGTTGGTAGATGGAAATCAGTATGTTTTTTGCTTTAGTAAATTTTTGAAACATCAGTAACGTATGTAACAGTAATACGAAAGTAGGGAATGAAGAATGAACGTAATTAATTGCATCTGAAGTTATTGAGATCGTTCATAATCTTCAGTTATCTAGGTAAAGATAAATAATAACAATAATGATAAAGATGAATAATTGTAGGTTGATGGTTGACTGTAATAAATAATTGAAGAGAAGGATCGATGGAGTGATCTGTCAAAATAAAATAGTAAAAATAAATAATTGTATTTATGTACGGGAAGGACGAAGAAAAGGAGAAAACAAAGATAAGGAGTTTCGTTTATTTTCTTATCTTCGTTTTCTCCTTTTCTTCCTCCTTCCCGTCACTCTATTTTCCATACCTCCATCCTTATTTTCTATATATTGATCCATTTGCTCATATATCTTCTTTTTTTTTACATTATTTTAATTTTTTATTCTCTTATATGTAATCAGTAGTTTTGATAGATTTTACAATACCTTAATTTTTTATTTATATCTATTATTTCCTTAAATAACTTCATGTTTCTTTTCTCTGTTTTACACTTTATTCTAAGATTACCATTTTCATTTCTTATGTTACCTTATTTTTTTATTATGGTTACTTCATTGGTCCGTGCTTTGTTACCGTTATTATTATTTATTTCTTATTTTTCTGGTACTGTTACCATTCTACCTACTTTTTTTTACTTAAATGTTCACTCTATCTACTTCATTTTACGTTATTATTTTCTACCTAAATTTTTAATCTATATCTTTCACGTTTTTTTTCATTTTAATTCTTTATCATTCAATGTTTATAGTTTCTTATACCTATTGTTATCTGGTTCTTTTCTCAGTCTTGAAGAAGGCATGAACCTCGGGCAGAAAAGTCGGCGAATATAAAAATAAATACAATTATTTATTTTTACTATTTTATATTGACTTACCCCAAACATCCTTCTCTTCAATAAAGATGAATACTTTTGATAAATTTACATGACTGTTATTTAGGTAATATATATTTAATAAAATATCATCTCACACTATTATTAACTGGACCCAACTTGGCCATCAGATTACAGATTGAACAATACTAGGTCATCAATACCATAATTCTGCAGAGAAATTTGACAGGAACGAAAGAAATTTCTTGTATATGTAAGTTATTTACTACACGTACATGATTCAATTTCTGAGCTTCACAACTTCAGAATTTTTCTCAGCTCCGTAAAAGTACAGACTGAAAAGACAGAAAATGGAGCAGAGGAGAAGAGAGAGATGTGAATATAAAGAAAGGAGCGGTGAATAGATAACTTTCTGGCCCGATAGTGTCCCCTGGAGTGGAGCCTCTTTGAGCAACGCCATTGACAGTCCCTCACAAACTCCTTAGAACGAGCTTCACGCGGGTATTCATAAACACCTTGTATTTACCATTCACAATTACATTACTCAGAATCTACGGCGTTTTTAAGAATAATAAACCTCCTTTGAATGGAAAATACTTTGAAACAGTTAACAATAACAATGATGATTGTTATGCAGACAAATTAATACAAAAATCTTATTTATTCTGCTCGTACGAAGTCTAGATATCAAAGTTTTTGAACTAG